ATGCATTGAGCCATTGCAGACTGGCTTTGCCTATTCAAATGCCTTCATAAGGTTTTGGAGAAATAACTGTGTCCCTGCAGACCATGTGCTGGATTGGATACTCCGTGTCCATGCTGCTCTGCCTTTACAAAGAACCAACATACTCTCCTTTTTGGTGAAAATGGGCAAAGTTGCTCTGTTTGGGCTCTGGATGGGTGGCAGTAGTCCAGACAGGCTGCCTGGACTGGGAGGTGCTCTGGGCAACTTGGAGCCAAGCTCACCTGTCCACCTCAGCCTCCATGCAAGCAATGCAGTGTTACCCAATTAAACCTTTCAAAATTGACTGCTTCCTCAAGGATTTGTTAGGGGCTTCTTCATATTTAATTTTCCTTGTAAAGCCATGCTAGCTGGGCCACTTGTTGGGCATATGACTTTCACCAAGAAAAAGATGAAGCCAAATTGAAGGAACTTTTAAGAACCTTTCTGCCACGGTCAGTCATTGGCAGCTGGTGAGGCTGCAAGAGTAGCATCTCTGATGAGGTAATTTCACACCTCAGAGGCACAAAATGCGTGGTCTGCTCCTGCAGCACAGAACATTCTAATACACCAGGGACTGGTGGGGGAGCCACATCAGACTAGTTGGGCTCCATTAATATAATTAACTGAAATTGCATTATGACTTTTTTTTTTTTCAGACTTTAATATACCAAGAAAGTACTTGAAGTGTGCAGATGGCATCAGTGGTTTAGCCAAACTTGATATCTGGAATGATATCAGCATTGCTCTCTACCCAGTCACACTCTCCTTTCCTTATCTGGCTCTTTTGTTTTCTTACATCCCCACCTCTTCTCTGTTAAATCAAAAAGCCATGTGTACACACTACTTCTCTTTCCCCATATTGTTGCCTGATACCTGTCTTTTTGGTTTGTGTTTTTTGTTTTTGTTAATTCACACAACACACTCAAAGTCTTTGCAGGCAAATATTTCCACGTGTTTTTTTTTACTTAATGACCCTAACTCTCCTGTCTCTTTTTGCCTCTGCTATTTATTATTTCAGTTGTGTTGACTGGTATTAACTCCCAGTCAATGTGGCACAGGAGTCATGGAAACAAGGGTGGTGGTCTAATGGATTTGCTCTACATGAGTGGAGAAAATAATTTCAGGTTCTTCACAGCACCACTGTGAAGTTCCCATTGTGAAGCGCATGTGAGAGAGAAACAATATGGTTAACTGTGCTAGCAGACCACATATCTTGAGACTAATTTGCTTACAGTGTACAGCAGAAATCCTACAGCACTATAAGATGATGTGTATGAAATAGATTGTTCTGAAAGTGCACAAAACAACTGCTATGATTTGTTCAAAGGTGCTACTTCTAAACCTGTGAAATCTGTGTGAGAACTGGGATATTTTAATGTGTGCATCAAGCTCTTGGCTTTACTGAAAAGTAATGTTTCCTTCTTTCTTTTTTTCCATGTAAAGCAGCCTCGATCTGTGGGTCTTGGTGTAGGGTAATGCTGTTTATAATGAAGTCAGAATTGGCTTTTAGAGCCTGATGAATGAAAGTCCACAGTATAAGACTGCAGCTTTTTGTGAGAGAGACGTCTGTGCTATAACAAGAGCAGGAGACCCAATTTAGACAACTGCGAGAAGGAGAGCTAAAGAAAAGGAAAGACCTTTTTTTCCTAGCTTAGATTAAATATTTGTACAAATAAACTTTTCAGCTGCTCATCAGAATTGCTGCTGCACCACCAACTTGGCTTAGAATTTTGTTCTGATTGCCCAACAAGGCTGTACATGAAGAGTGTTACGGAAGAGCAGCTTAAACAAAACATGTTTGTTTCGCAGCAGAAATAGAGGCTTTGGGCTAGGGAGAAAAAAATTTGGGGAGAGGGAAAAGATAGAGAGACATATGAAGTAATGAAAGATGTGTATAGGAACTGACTGTTGCAGTAAATACGTGTGAAGCCAGAAAGACATGCAGGATTGAATTCTGTGTTTTGAAAGTGAGTTACACTAGAGGATCTGCCTTTCAATACAGCTGCAATGACTTCTCCCATCTGGATCAGCTGGTTCTGTTAAAAGTGTTCTCACCCATCAAGTTTGCTCCTTACACCTCAACTGCTGCAGAAACTTTCTTACAAATGTATTTTAACTATAATCTAGTTAAAACACCCCTGTCGTGTTTATCATGCTTTAAATCTTACTGCATGAGGCTGATGGTGATGAAAATTCAAGTTTCCGCTGAGGACAGTGCTGTGGAGAGCAAGTGTCTTTGACCAAAGAGGATTGTTTCTTATTTCGGTTAAAAATTCTTTGAGGAAACTCCTCAAAATCTGTTTGGTAAAGCAACTCTTCTAAGAACATGGGAACTCAAATCACTTGGATTAAAGCCCAGATGGACACTGTCTCTGACTGAAATGACTCAGAAGAGGATTAAGGAATAGCATAAGTGGAGAACTCCTCGTGAAGTGGAATGCTGAATGTGCCATCCTGGGCTGCTCCTCAGCATTAGCAGGGAAGGAGCCTTTTAGTTCTCAGGCTTCTTGGAGCAGATGCAAAAATAGTGTGTTGAGATGTTTCTGATGGCTAGTCAGCTGAAAGCAGTTTTTAGAGATAGTGTAGTATCTTTGAAAAGTTATGTGAATTCAGATTTAAAGTATTTCTTTTCTTGATGAAGCTGGTGACTTTAAATATAGAAATACCTTACAAAATATCAATCATTATCCAGCAAACCCTCATGAAACTTCTGGCATTCTAGCTTTGCTCTTTTCCTGTATGATTAAGGGTGATAATGAAATTCTGTTGTTTTGAAGTGATGCAGCTTTGGGGCAGAGTGGGTAAGAGCTAACTGGTGGTTAGCACAGTTCAAATGCAGTAATACCTAAAGATGTTAGCTCACATTGTAGGACACTCGCTGTGTAATACGGCATGGCTGTTGGAATATTGTAGGGACAAAGGAATTGCTTTATCAGACTAAGGAACTCTTTGGTATCCTGTTTTAACTAAACTTCTCAGAATGGATCTCTAAGCCAGGGACTTGCTCTACTTTTCTTGTTTTAAACCCCTGACCCCACCTGAGATTCTGTTCACCCACTGATTTCAAGGGATCATTTAAGCTGCCTGTGGAAGAAGGCTTTCCTCTAATTGCATGTGGTGGCTCTCCTGGCTTGCGTGGAGGTACAACTGCAGACCTGCAAGACCTCACAACTCTCCCACTCGTCTGTGCCAACATTTTAATTGTCTTAAAAGGATCTTCCACAGACTTTTAATTTATTTTAATCCCCTGGAGCATCTCTGCTGCAGTAATATTTAGTGAATTTCAGAGCAAACGTTCACTTAGTTTCCAATTGTCAGATCTGAGGAGTGGCAGAAAAATTATTTTTCAGGGAACTGAAAAGGCAAACTCTCAGACTAGGCTAATCTCTACTTGTAGAAGGAGAGGACAATTAACAACTTGTCTATGAAAACAAAACAGTTGCCAAGAAAACTTACTAGAGTCTCTACAAGAAGGATGGGGAAATTCTGCAGTTAATAGCAGTAATGCATTGCTTAAACTTGGCGAGCACCACATTGCCTTTTAAATATCTGTTCTGAAATATTACCTTTGAAATGTCTATGTGCAGTTTAAATTTTAGTAGGTGGTAAAGAGTGGAAATTATCTTTAAATTGCAGTTTATATGCCCAAACTTATCTTAAAAATGTATATATGTAAAATGTATACAAAGTATATGATGCATTGATAGATTATAAACTGGGATTTTTAATCTCACGAGGGCATAGACTAAATTTTAAATTTTTAAGGTTTCGTGCACTCTCAGTTGCTAGTTATAGAGAAGGGAAGTGTAGTGCACAGAAGCTTTTTTATGTCTACTGCTTTCTTTCTGTCCTTGTTTCCTCCTTTTCCTGAAGGGGTTTCCTCCCTTTCCTACTGGCATTTTGGCTTTAGAGACTAACTGGAGAATGACACTTTGGTTGGTCACAGAAGAGATTGCAAGTTTACTTTTTCACTTCTTGGTGTAAATGATGAATTTCTCCAGAATCAGTTTAGTTTCTGATACAAATCATTAGGACTCAAAACACCACAATGATGTATTTGTGTCCTGTGCTAGTTACTGCCACAGTCTCTGTTTTCTGTGACATTATTTCTTACCAGGAAGAAAAAACATATACCATATGAATTTTAGAAGCAGTACAACCGTGGGTGTTTTAATACTTTTACTGGAATACTCCGAAACCTTGATTTTCCCCCAAAGGTCTGTGTTCTTCCCCCTTCATCCTTCATTTGACTAGAATAAAGGAAATTATACAAGATAAAAGTACTTCATGCAGTTTTCTTTTGTTCCTTGTCATACACATTTACCCATTTCTCCCTAGCTTTCTACTGTAAGAAAAATTAGTTGTTACTTTAAAATAATGATGAAGATACTGCTATGAGTGGTTCCTCTGGAATGAATCTATGGGAAAACTGTCAAAATAATTGTGAAACAGCTCTTGTTGTGCTGGTTATTCTGGTTACCTTCTCTCTGTAGGCAGTACCCCACTAAGGAAGAAAATAACATCTTTATGTATGATCTAAGTGTGCTGTGAGGAAAGAACCCAAAAGCTCCAAACAGCGACAAAGATCTGTGTTCTTGGAATACATGGAGAAAGTTTCACTCCAGATTTGCTCTTCTCTTAATTCTTTCTATTTATGCTTTAGTCCACTTTGAGAACAGGTGACTTGGAGATTTATTTTCAAAGTTTGGGACATACAGTGAAGTGCGATCTCTTGGAGTTATGTTCTGTATTTTCACATTAATGAGGTTTCAAATGCATATTTTGTGTTACGAGAAACAGCATACAAGCAATGTATGCTTGTTTTTCCCAGAATAGTTAGCATTTCTTTCTTATTGGAGTGACTGTCTTGAATGATCTGTGTTCTCATACAGCTATTTTACAATTTTGGTGTTTTTACAGAGTTTTTGGTTTTGTTAATCTGCTTTGAAATTTAAATCTGTCATTTCTTTTGCCTCCTACAGGTGCTGGATAGTTTGTTAGCTCAGTATGGAACAGTGGAGAACTGTGAGCAAGGTACAGCTCTACTCTAAAGTTGCTTTCAAATTTGTAGTGGGAAGTGAGTGCACACTGAACTTAACCTCTTTCTATTGCATTTTCCTTTCCAGTGAACACTGACACGGAGACTGCAGTTGTAAATGTAACATATGGCAATAAGGACCAGGCTAGACAGTAAGTATCTTATTTAGTTATTGTCATCTAACTTGCACTTTGGAATTCATATGCAGCTTTGCTTCTAATCCTCACTTTAACAATAAGTTAAGCATTGACTTTTAAGAAAGTCTGTTTTCCCCCGCACTATGTGCTTTACCACAATTAACTATTTTTATCATCAACTTTTCTTGCTCTTTGAAAAAGAATAAATTTAAAACTTCACGAAATGGAAAAATTGAGCAAACTTATTTGAATGGGGAGGGCAGTTACTGTTTAATGATTTTTAGCCATGTTTTAGCAATACCCTTTTACAGTGTGCATTCTTTTGTATCTGTTTCTTAATGGACAATCATAGCAAAATAACAGGGGAAAAAAAATAGAAAAATGCAGCTGCTAACCAGAAAAAAGGTGTTTTTTTAGATTAGAAAATTAAATGCTGCTTTCAAACATGCAAAAAGTACCATCTAAATACCTAAAATAACTTATTTAGTATTTTTGAAATTTAAGCCACATATTTTATGCTTGCTTATATCTTCAATAAGCAAGATAACTTTTAATCTATTTTAATTTATTTTAATCTATAAACTTTAAAATATAATGTTTTACTTACTTAATCAGTGGTTGTAGATATTTTTCCTTTAAAATTTATATTACGCATTATGCTATAGGTTTAATTTTGCTTTTCTACCCACATATAGAAAAAGGATTTGGGTTTTCTTAAGGTTTTAATCTGGTGGCATACTTCCCCCTTCCTAGTCATAGTAGGTCAAACGAAACCGAACCCATGGAATAGCCCACAATGATCTTTTTATTTTAACTTTGAAATTTCTGCCACCTTGTGGCTAACTAAAACCAGCAGTTAAAATGCAGAGCGTGCTTATGGTATGCATTAATTCAGAATTACAAATGAAATAATATTTGTACATATAATTAAGTAATTATGATCTGCGCATAACTTGAATGCAACACATGTATTTAATCTTCCAAAGTGTTAGGTTACTTGTTATTACATTATAAACAAATGTGATGGGAAACTTGTGTCAATGGTATCTCCTGTGTACACTGGAGCTGAAGGAAACAATGTTTTCCTTGAAGTCACTGTTTAACTTTTCTCAAAACCTGAATTGTTCAACAAGTTCTTCAGGTTCCTCTGTTGCTTTTGATTCTGTTGCCCAGTAATTAACAAAAAGGCCGAATTTCTGGTTCTGAAGAAACTTACCGTGGAATGTTACAGATTAATATTAAATGTGCCAGTTCCTCCTCTGCAAATGCAAGAAGGAAGTACCAAAAATACCCTGGAAAGAAGCATGACTTTTTTTTTGAGCTGTCTGTTGTATGTGGTGTGAGTTCCTGGGCTTGTGCACTCCTTTCTGAAGCTGACAAAACAATGTGCAGTTTCTCCCCTTTCAAACTATACTTGCTAAATTTTGAAGTCAATCCTGAGGAAATGCTGGGATAAGCAAAGACTATGATGGAAATGTTCAAGATAAAATTTTAGTTTGCATGAGAAATCACGTGACAATAACTGGAAACATCTTGAGTTTGAAGCAGGTGAATTGGTATTCAGTGTGAAAGTTGCGGGGGACCTGAAGCGATACAGCTTGAATGTTGACCCAGTTTGGTTCCCTTGAACAGGTGGGGCAAGTGGAGGAACCTTGATTTGCATTTGTGAGTGGTTTCATAGGGACACAGGGGTTTCTAAGTGGATGAGTCCATATTCTGTTCAAAAAAATGTTAGCTCAGATTGTCTGAGTTCAGGAGGTGACCTTGCAACCATTTAGAAATCCCTAGGACAAGTGGCTAGATTGAGGTATGGAAAAAACTGTGAGGACTTAAAATGAAGGGTCATTACAGGACTTGTATGTGCGTGGCTTTTCCGTAGTGACTGTGATGCTGTTTCAGTTAAATGGTTTTCCCAGATGTGAACTGACTGTGGTAGATGGCAGTGGCACTGGAGAGGGAGCAGTGTCCAAGTGCTGATAGCTGATAAAGGCGGTGCTGGTCATCCTACGAAGCACATGTAGTAACAGGAACTGACTTTACCAAAAGCTATTTAGAGTTGTCAGGAGTCAGCAGCTGCTAGCAAGCTTTGTAGTTTGAAATTTAACTGATTGGGGAAAATGATGCTCTTTGCCATGTGTTTTGGATCAAACACCATGACTTGAAGATTTCTATGCAGACACATAGAGTGGATCCCTAGTTCTAAATGCACCTTTTCTGAACTTTTTGCAATGCACATACTAACCTCACAGTAGTGTTGGCTGACAAAATGTGCAAAGTTGGCTACACCCCCTCTGGATAGCTGTATGGCACTGCCATGCCTGCCGGTGTGTACCGGCAATACTGTGCGATGAAGGTGCTGTAACACAACCTAGAGATACTTTTGATAAGCAGTTCTAAACAAGTGTGGTATGCATTGCTTAGAGGATGGTACTTTGGAACAAAACCTTTGGTTCCACCCAGCTAGGAAACTAAGAATTCTTCTGTCTTGCAGTCTAAGTTGTTGTGACAGAGGTTTTTTTCCTCTAGGCTGGTACTGCAGTTGCAGCATGTTCTATACAGGGCTTATTCATAATTAACTTGGGAGCTGAAATTATCAAAGAATGCTGCAGTCTTTCTGAGAAAGAAGTCTTAGAGCACCCAGCACCCTAAATCTGAGATGTGCACAGTTACCAACTTCCAGTTGGGAGAGAAGTCTGTGTCTTTGACCTGTTGTAGTGACAGCTCATGTTGTAGTGACAGCCTCATGGAGGGGCATGAGGCTGTCTTGTCAGAAAAATCAGGATTCAACTGTTCCTCAACTATGTGGCCAGAGCAGGGGAGCCAGTATCATGACAAATCAGGTACTTTTGGAGAGCCTGGTAGCATTGTGGAGGGGTGCACAGCAAGCTCAGAGCCATGCATGGGCTTTGGAAAACCACCCTTTGCTCTCCAGGACTGTGGGTAGCAAGAAGATACCAGGGCATCTCTGACCACATCCTTTCCCTCCTCGCTTGCAACCACTTGGGAGGAGGAGGGATTTGTTCCATCTCAGAAACTGCCCCTGGTACTGTCCTTGTCAGAAACCAGAGAGGGCCTTACACAGCGTGTGCACGCTGCTGTGACAATGCAATTGTGAGCATTGTGGTGGGTTGTGGAATATTTGGAAGAGAAGAGAGGATGAGTGACAGAACCTGTAGCCTGTGATTCCTTCTGAACAACCTAACAGGCTGTATGCAGGTGCTGTGGCAGCTTGGGATGTCCTTGCCAAAAGACACCCCTCCTTCTCCCAGTATCAATCCCTGGCTGCAACCAGCAGGACACGCTGACTGTGTCTTTGTGACATGCTGCCACCTAAATTATGGCTGTTACCTTCAAAAGTTACACCACCTTCTCTTTTGCTCCCCAAAATGTTCCAGTGTAGGTGTCTAATACACATGCTCTACCTGGGATTTTGAAAGTCCACTAGTGGTCACCCCTTAATTAAAATACTTGTGAAAGAATTTATTTTTTTTTACCCTTTTCAGTGAAGGACAAGTCTGTCTGTGTGCATGTGTGTGCACACATGTATCCTTGATGAATGAATGAGAGTTCACATAACTAATACTTCCATGTGCCATTGCAGGTCACGGCTAATGTTGCCATAGGAAGGATAATACTAAAAATTCAGTGATGTATGATTATAAGCTGGATTTATTTTTTCTTTGTTTTTGTTTTCAGAAGTACTAATGAAAACTGTATTTTTATGTAATGTAAAAAAATTGTGTCAAAGAAAATTTGCCGTGTATATCCATCTTAGCGTATGCAAATGTGTCTGTTCAGGGAAGAAAAAAGAGAGGTGGTGTATGTACAAGCTGCATGTGGGAGTGAAATATGTTCTCCATCTAGTGCTTAGTGTCATCATGCTATCAGTGGAAGAATGATTTCCAGCAAAAGACTCGGTACATTCACTGTAATCATTTTCTAGGATGTTTACCTTCACTAGCTTCACAAGGAGAAGGCTGGGCAGACATTCTCTTAGGGAGCTCACGAGAGGACAGCAGTGAGATGTCACTTTGATGGGAAAAACTGAGGTGATGAATTTACAAAATATTTGTTTAAAGGTTTCATTTTTATGTGGGAATTCTCTTGCTTCTGAGCAGGTGTTACATGAACAAAAGCCAGGCTGCTGTACATCTTATCAGTGCATAGGCAGTAGTCGTTGCAGTCTTTTAATGAATTTGTTTTATTAAAAGATTCTGAACTACACTAAGAGATTTCTGTGTACTGGGTCTTGCTGGTATATGAAGTGGAAACATTTTCCATTTCTACTAAATATAAATTTTTAAAGATGATTTGGGGGAGGAGGACACTTCTTAATGAGGCAGTTTACTGAATTTTTCTCTTTGTCCTCATTAAGTGACTCTAAGGCTTTTTAACCTTTGTGTAAAAGATGGTTTGTGGTTTGTTTCAGTAGGTACCAGCAGTGCTCTCTGACAGAGATAATCTACTTGGCCTTTATTAACTTGCGGTCATGGAAGGAGATTCCCCCCTTCCCTCCTAACCTGTTTGGGAGAGCAGAGTCTTTGTGGGAATTCAGAGGTGGTGTTGCTGTGGCTTGGATCTGAGTTTCTGAGGTGGTCAGTCAATGAGAGTGTGTGCTCACACGAGGAGCTTGATTTAAAGTGTGTTTGGTGGACTGCAGTGTGCTGATAGCTTTGGCTGAAACAAATGGCTCTAGTGCTGTGAAGAGCCAGCCGCTTGCTTTTATCTGAGGCTCAGACTTTCCCACGAGCAGGGATGACTCTCCTGATAGCAAGCGCTGTCCTAGATGCTGTTTCACAGGAATTCTGCATCCATCTAGAAGACAGTTCTTAGTCACTTGTGTCTCTTTCATGATTTTTCTTGCACATCTTTCCCCTCAACCCCTGAAGCAGTGCCTAGATGCCTCTAAAATTGAGTTTATTACGGTGCTGAAGGGCTGCTGAGTCATCACGTTGCCCGATTCCAGCCCTAAGTTTGTGCCACAAAATTGATAAACATGAATTCAGAACAGCTAAAGAAAGATGTGTGACAATATTTTAAAAACCTAGTGCAGATTGTTAAATTCTGGAATGCAAAGGCCAGGCTCAACAGCCCAAAGGGACCTTTCAAAAGATGGGGTTGTGTCTTGTGTAAGAAATGTGCCGAAACTATGTATGTGGTGCATCCGCTGAAAATCAGTTACCTTGTCATTCCACTGTGCGTGCCCAAATCACTGCAGAATATGGGACCACCAACCCAGGAAATGATTTAATTACTGACTCTTCTGACTTCTCATCACTTGAGCAAGTAAAATTATAAGACAAGTCAGCCTATAAAATATGGAGAACTCTGTGACTCACAGGGTGAATTAGTGTGTTATTTTTCCGTATCATTATATGACTTTGGTGGCCAGGGATTGTTCACTGCTGACATAATTCATTTTCCACAGTGGCAAATGAACTTTTCTCAGTTTGCATTGAATTGAAGGTACTTATAGTCATATGGAACCATTTAGCAATTTATAAATTGTTATTAAGTAGAAAAATTCCAACCTTCTTTCCAGGAAAAGGATGGTATGTACATGTAGATATACATACACATATATGCACTAGTTGTTGCTATAAAGTGTTTATTGTGAAAACATGATAGGTATGTAGCTTGGTTGCAAACAGAAAATCTAGTCTTTTGTTTTTATACCACTTCTGAGGAACATTGAGAAGTCTTGTGCACTGATTTAATGTAAGGTTTTGTATTAATGCTGGGATTCTGGTCAAAGATGTTTTAAAACCGGAGAAGACTGATGCATTTTGGGAAAGAAGCAGTGTCTGAACTTGTCAAATAAAAGCATGGAAGACGGTGAGCTGGGATGAACATCAATCTGGAGCCTACCAGCACATTTGCAAAATTGTTGGTGTTCATCTCTCCAACATCTTGAGGTTTGACTCCAAAAGAAACAGGGCTTGTGCAACTGCATCGTCTGGCAGTGCTTTTTCCCTCCCTGGTAGCAATCCAGCTTTTTAGTGGATTTCAGTAAAACTCAACCCAGAAACAGAAGCCTCAGATATTTGCAAACAACAAAAACTTAGTATGTTCTTTTTTGCATGAAAAGGAAAAGTTCCAGACCCCTTTCCCAGATAGGATGTCCATAGAGAGGGATTTCAGTGAAATGCCTTTGAGGCATGGGAAATCTATCCAGAAACTAAAAAGTTGAGAGAGAAATCCAGAGAAACACAAGTTTCACTAGTCTGCTCACTGCCCTTACTGTTTTGTAAACATATTTTATCGTGTAATAAAATGTTCTTCAAAGTCCATGGAGTAAAAGTTAAGAATCGTCAGCTCTGAAATAGCCTCACCAAATTTGAATCCAACTCATTTGCCATATGCTGTAAGGGATTCTTCTGTTATGGGAGTAATTACTCTCCTGCCCAATTCCCAGAGGACCTGTGTTTCATTCGGTTAGCAGAAGTATTTAATGAGCAGTGATCAGTTATTCAATATTTTGCTTTCTTTGTTCATTGGCATTGCCTTGGGCCTTATTTATTACCAGCCCTTATTAAACACCGTTCCAAAGACACAAATTACTTGTTTTCACGTAAGCTCTTGCCTGGAGTATTTTGAGGATGCTGGTTCAACTCCAGGAAGATGAGGGGCACATTGTTATCCTCAGTACCCATACCACTTATCTCTGAAGCTGCTGCTTGGCTTCAATAACTGCTAGAGACCCAGGCTATCAAATGGGACAGGAAACTAGTAGTATTTTTCACTGGCTACTTAAAATGCAGGTGATTGGCTGGCACCATCCCTCATCTCTGTGGTAAAGGCAGGAGTAAAAGTGTTGCTAAGGCTGAGTGTTTGGTAAACTGGCAGTAAGCCTTTCGTAGCAAAATTTGAAATGTCTTTCTTGTGCAAGTGTGTTGGTTTTATACCGCTAGTTTACCAGGGTGTTGTGCGTAGCTTAGTTATTCCTACTGTTGGCTGGATCTTTAGTTGTACAGAATAAGTTTTTAAGTTGACTTCTGTTCCTCCTGGGAGAAGGAGACCACCAGCAGGTCAGGCTGGCTTGCAGGTGTGCCCCCACCTTGGTTAGAAAGAGGGACTGAGCAGAGGGGGAGTGCTGAGCAACCAAAAGATTATTCAGTGTGATGGACCACCATGGTGGGAGGGGGCTGTGCATATTTGGGCAGTATCCCTCTGTAATGTAATTAAAAGAGAAGTTGAAACACTCTTTAAATGTTTTCTAACAGCTTTGCATCTCTGGAGAGTTTAACATGTGTGGGCTTTAATTTCCTAGTTAGTTTTTAAACTTCACTACTTAAAACATGACTAGTTGATAAGTTGCGCTTTGCATTTGTGATCCACTAAGTGGTGTTTCAGATGCCATTGAGAAGCATCTGAATTTGCTTACTTTCCTTCTAAGAATGAACTAGGTGCTGTCTTCTTTTATACTTTTTTTCTTTCCCGTCACAGCTGTATCATTTATTGCAAAAACTACAGCCAAATAGCTGTGCTGGCAAAAACCCTAATGATGGTGCTGTGATAGCAGCTAAAAAGTTTTCCCTCTGGTTCACCTTTAATTCTGTTTGGGAAATTGATTTAAATAAAATCAGGCAAAAGAATGCTTTTGAGTGTATAAGCTCTGTCTCCTGTGAGGTTTTGCTGATAGGGTTGGACCAGCAAAACCTTTAAAGTGCACAGAAGCCCAGAGCAAGCAAGAACTAACTTGTAGTTCTTAATATTGTGACTTTGTGTAATCAAAATCTTGGCTGAAGAATTTAAAATGTAACTTTTTGGTCTTAAAACCAGTTTTTAGCTTTACCATGCAGTTTACAAAGAACAGAAGTCGGTATCTGAATGACTTGTCTTTTCATAAGGCCCTGCATGTGATTGTGGGTTTTTTTTCTTAATCTCCTCTCTCCTCCCCTTTGCAAATAAACAGAGCAATAGAAAAACTGAATGGGTTTCAGCTTGAAAACTATTCCTTGAAAGTCGCATACATCCCTGATGAAATGGCAGCCCAGCAACCTCCGCAACAACATCCCCAGGGAAGACGTGGATTTGGACAGAGGGGTCCTCCTAGGCAAGGGTCACCTGGCGCAACCACAAGGCAGAAACCACAGTCGGACGTTCCTCTACGGATGCTGGTTCCCACGCAGTTTGTAGGAGCCATTATCGGCAAAGAAGGAGCGACAATCAGAAACATTACAAAGCAGACACAGTCCAAGTAAGTTCTTTTACAAAACTGTAATTAATAGCTTTTTTTAATGTTGTGTTCTCATTGCTCATGTAAAGGGGAATTTGTAAAATTCCACAACTAATCTGTGTGGTCAGAGAGTAAATGAAGGTAACGGTGAACAGGAAATCTTTTGCAGGATTTATTTAGGGACTAGATTCTGTCCTTGAGATATGTTCAAATACTGACTTGTTTCTCCCTTCTTAGAAGAGGGAAGCTAGGCAGTGCTAGCAGGATAGTAGTCTGTTGGAAAGTTTTGCTTACAGATGTACTATTACGGTTCTGGCACAAAAAGTGAAACTGAAAGAGCTGTTATATGTTGGTCTGTGGGACATACAGTCAGTGTGCTGACATATCCAAGTCTTCAGGTGCTTATTCTAGCTTTAGTTTGATTTATGACATTCTTAGGATTTGTAAATGTTGATAATTGAAGAGGTGTGGGGGGGAAATAAAAACGAATGAAACCCCTTCCTATCCTATCCTCACGACTCGTTACACCTCACCCCCCTGTATTTCTGGAGAACACATTTGTTGCTATCAAGTTGCAGACCACACCAAAACACAGATTAAGGAAATGCATGGGAGGCAAAAAGCAAGCTGCTAAGTGACTTAAGAAGCTTAAAGCACTGGGGTCTAGAGACGCTGGAGGAGATTGTTTCCAGTGCGTGTTAAATCCCTACCCACAAGGAAGAGCTCAGCGCAGATGAAGAGGGAGGTGGGGTTCCTATTCCAAGATTTTTTTTTTTCCAGGGTACCCCTAAAAGCAGAGTTAAGATACTACCTTCAGCAGTACACTGCTAGGAGCCCCCAGCTCTGTAGCTGCAGCAGGCAGGATGTGAAAATAAGCTGTGTGTGAGGGGTATGAGAGGGGGTGGCGGCGTCAGTTTTGAGAGCAGTTAATGAGGATAAGGGAGTCCTCTCTAATTACCCTCCAACCCCCAACCAACAGGCTTTCCCCCACCCTCCAAACCCAGGATTATCATGATGCTCCTTCCAAATTCTCATTAGCATTTTGTAACCCAGGAGACTATTTAGTATGTTTAACGGCACAGGTTTAAGAGATTTGTGGTGTCCTGACAAGACTCGGCTGTAGATTGCCTGTGGGTAACCAGTTTTTCGGGTGATATCTAAAACATCTAATTCTCCAGCTATAAAAATCCTGGAAAATTGGCATAAGGAAAGCTTTTATATCTTAAAAGAAGGGTGGATAGAGCAGAAATAATTGCAGGTTGTTAACTTTACAGATATGCAACTTCAAGAAAGAGGTTTTCATTGATTTGGGGATAAAAAAAGAAATTTCATCTACTTCCACTTCTACCAAGGATTGCCATGGGCTTCTTGGAAAATGCTTCATTGTGAAACTAAATGAATTTTCAGTACTGGACAGAACTGCGAAAATGAAGGGCCTATTGAAAAGCAGCATTGTTGTTTCAGTTTGGAAACAGCTATGATTTAGGGAAGAGGGGCAAAAGGAAAAAGCAGAGATGGAAAGAGTATGTGACCTGCAGTTACTGGCAGAGGACCAGTAATATCCTAGGCATTCTTTATGCAGGTCAAAATTAATTTTTGTTAAATTCCTAGAGGTACATAAACCATGGTGTAGACCAAGACTAGTGGTTTTAGGGTAGTAGAGGCTGGAGCTAGAGGAAAGGTAATGTCAGGGCAAAATCCAGCATGAAAAAGTATAAGAAACTAATCTTGAGGATGGATGCAAGTACTGTGATGCTACTTGCTAGCAGAGGAGTGCTGGGAAACTCTGCTGCTGAGCTAATTAAAGACAAGATGGGACAAAGCCTGACTGTCCTGTAGCTGCACAGGCATTCTTAGTGGAGCAATGGGGCTGGTGGTGGAATGCTGTGAAACCTTGATGAGATGTCTTCAGTGGTTTACCACAGAATATCTGTCTAATAACTCCCCTGCATATCTTGATGGGAGTCTACTGAGGAAAGGAGATCCCAGTGTCTACAAAGAGAGGGTTTAACTGGTAAAATCAGGGTAGGAGAGGCTCTTTATAACACACAAAAATTAGCATTTAGGATATGTTTAAGTAGTTATAAATGTTTCAGTATTAAACCACTTAAATGTAGTCACTGTTAGCTCAAAATAAAATAGTTTTATGAGAGTTGAAAATACACAAGGCTTACCATAGAGTACATGGTTACAGTTAGTGTTTTTTCTTTCTCTCAAGAATTGATATTCATCGTAAAGAGAATGCAGGTGCTGCTGAGAAACCAATTACCATCCACTCAACTCCTGAAGGCTGCTCAACGGCTTGTAAAATTATTATGGAGATCATGCAAAAGGAAGCTCAAGATACTAAATTGTGAGTAAAAGACATTTTATTGTGGAAGCATTAAAAATTCTGAATTCTCATTGACTCTATTTAAAGATGTAGTCTTTTAAAACTGTTAACAAGTGAATCTTCATTGCCGGTATCCATTTCTAAGCAGGTAAAGGAACTAAGACATTTTACCTTTGAAGACAGTCTTGTTGCTTAATTAGCCCCAGCACACATCTACTGTTTGTCTAGTGTTGTCTGGCTGTGATTTTGAGGTGAATTGGAACAAATACAGAAGTTTCTTGAGCAACTGATAGCTTTTAGTCAGAGAGAGCATAACAAGTTGTGAGCCCTTGCTAAAAGCTTTAAGATATACCTCCTTTCCAATAGCTCTTGCTACCTCAATCTGAGCTTTAGCTCAGTGCCTTTAGCTCAAGGTATGTTACAACGAAGCTCTAGGAGATAGTTCTGAAAAGTCCATTGCACCTGGACTTGTTCTACATCTCGTGTAAATGTGTGTTAGTGGATGGGAGTTGTGGATACCTCTATAAAAATAAAATTTATCCGTAACACACATAAAAACTTGTGCTCTGGTCTCCAAAATTCTCACTGGTTATAATTTCCATTACAGCACAGAAGAAATTCCCCTGAAGATATTGGCACACAATAACTTTGTTGGCCGACTTATTGGCAAAGAGGGAAGAAACCTGAAGAAAATTGAACAGGACACAGATACTAAAATCACGATATCTCCGTAAGTTTTTGGTGACCTAAGGTTTTGGTGAGATGTCTCAAATAGCAGCAATGCTGCTGCAGTATATTCAGGTACAAAGTTCTTACAAAAATATTGTATGTTGGAGACTTGAGATAACAGCCCTTCAGAGACCTTTGCATCATGTGGATTAAACTGTTACTTAAGCTCAGTTAAATTTTATGTAAACAGTGAGTCTTCATTGTAAACTCAGTCAAGAGCAAACCTAAAAATAACATAGGCTATGTGGAGCCTGTGTCAGACTGTATTTTAAGTGTCGGTTGTTTTTAACATATTATACCATATGTAATGATGGGTGTTTGAAACTGTAAGTCTGGATCGGTTCTGAGCTATCTGCAAAAATGAGTGAAATTCGTGATGTTTTAGTTACTGCTATGTATTAAATTTTTGGACTAGAGGAAAGGAAATAAAGCAAATGAATACTAGGAGTATTTTTAGTAGCAGTTCTGTTCCTCTTGACCACTAGCAGCCAAACTGTGGTTCTTTGGCTAGCCTGCTTCAAAGTAATAGCTTTTTGGTTGATGAGTTTGTGAAGGTAACTGTGAGACCTGGTCAAATCTAGCTGAGATTAAACAAGAGTTTTCACCTTCACTGGAAATCTGCAAATCACTGTTTAGATTAACATCTCTGTAGAAGCTTGGCAGTCAATAGGAGTTTTACCCTGGAGTAATATCTTCAGAGAACCTCCTGTTCTGAATAACGAATACTCTGGCATGAACTTCCAAGCATTTGAGGGCAACTTGGGTTTGCCTTTATCCAGAAAGGGTGAGAATAAGGCTTTTAGGCTGTAGGAAAGGGAAAAACTTTGGAAGACACATGAAGATGTCTGAAGAGGTGTGAATACATGCAGGAGACCAAAAAAGTACAGCAGAAAATAGCTCAAATGAGGACAAGGAAGTCTGGAGTGAATGTGGCTCCTCAAAAAGACGAAATCAAATTTGGGTGAAAGAACCTGAGGCCCTCCTTAAAAGGTGTATGTTTATGGAATTAGTGTAAGGAAGAGCAACAAATGAAATGTGTGCTTCAATAATAGATTATGTAAGGCCAGCATGCTCTTTTAAATGTGCTGGCTTAAATATTCTGTTTGCAAATAGTACTCAGATGTCAATGCTATTGCTTAAAGGAAAAAAAAAATGTGTACAGGGTAAATGGGATAACGGTCTTCATTCTATGAAATCAACTTGTCTTTATTGATGGTGACACAAATAACATATTGTCTGTAAACACTCACGGAGTAGTTTTTAATTTAGTAAGTTAATGGTTTATTTGCAGTAAAATCTTGGCCTCAAGATTGCATTTGTCATGCTATGCCTGAAATAGCCCCATGAAGTTGCCTGGTATAATCAATACGTAAGAGAGCATATTTGCCCACTGATTTTGCTCTATCTGATTAGTCTTTCTCCTGATCTCTTCATTTAGGCTATTTTGTAAGCTTGTCCATAAATTTAAAGTAAGGCAGATGTTTGGGAAAGTGTTTCCTTTCTTCTTTGGGGTGCTTTCCATCACTTTTCTTCCTAAGGCAGTAACTTTGTGCTTGTGCACTGGAAACTTAAAGACTGTTTTGTGGATGCATTTTGTGCTCACCACCGTTCAACTGAGATGTGCAGGTTGCTACGCTGCAAGAAAGCAAAGCCTTGCTTTGCTTTCCTCTCTGCTTTCTGCCATGGGCTTCCTCACTCCTGCATCTTGCTCTGAAGTTTTTGTCTTCACCCCTTTTCCACCATTTCTCAGTACATGGATATGCCATGGCTTCCCCGTTAGTTTGTTCCATTTTACCATAGTAGGTTAGCATTTGTTACCAAATAAAGTGCTCACTTAATGTTGTCACCCTTTTGTTTTCCCAGAGGAGTTATTAGTGTTTTGCAGGAAATGTTGACTTTCACACAGCTTTCCTTTTTCCCATTTTGAGTATCTGGAGGCTCTCCTGCAGTTTCACTGAGGGTTGGGCTTTTCCACTCTCCATCCTTAAGGAATACATTGTAGTTCTCACAGAAAGAAAGTTTCATATGGTCGGTATTCATGGGGTGTCTCAAGTGTCCAAAACCCTCTCTGTTGGTAGGGCTGGTGTGGAGTGTGAAGCAGAACGTTGCTTGCGTTCCTACACAGCGTGATTGTTTTCAGTTTGCATAGCACCTAAGCATGTCTCAACCATCTCATGCCAAGCCTCACTGTGGTAGTTTTATGTTGTGTTTCCCTGGAGGACAGAGTTTCCCTAGATTCTCTGTGTTTGAGCCCTGTTAAGAACTGATTCTATGGTTCTTTGGAGAGCAAACTTGACACACTTGGATGTCATTTCTCTCGAATGATAAACGTGGATTACCCTCTTCTGTTTGCTAATTAATTGTGCTTCTGTTTCCTTTGCAGATTGCAGGACTTGACACTCTATAATCCGGAAAGGACCATTACAGTTAAAGGCAGTATTGAAACTTGTGCCAAGGCTGAGGAAGAAATTATGAAGAAAATCAGGGAGTCCTATGAAAATGACATTGCTGCTATGAATGTGAGTTTTCTTATGGTGTGGGCTCTTTCTGAAACTAAAACCATGGAAAGATTTAGGTATGAGTCACTCCTGGAGGTCACTTGGCCCAGCCCAGGGTATATTCAAGATAGGCCCTACTTCAAAGTTAAACGAGGTTGTGTAGGGGTTTGTCTCCTCTTGAATATCTCCATGGATAGAAAGCCCACAGTGTCTCTGGGCAATCTGTGCCCTGTCTCACTATTCTCACGGTGAATTTTTCTGTTGCAGCCTCTGTTGCTTCTTTTATTAATTTGTGGAGGTGCGGGCACATGTTTATTTATTTATTTATGCTTATACGTTATTTTAATGAAGGCCTTTTCTGGTTGGTTTTGAGTGAGGGAACTGATAACCTTGGTTCAGATTTAGGAAATTAATGAGCATTTCACTTTTTTCTTGTTTCAAAAATGTAAAGGAAGGTGTGTTTGTGTTGTTGTGGTTTGTGTGCTCTACCTTGCATGTTTTATAAAGTAGTGATTCACAGTTTCTTCGTATGTATGGAAGAAGGATCTCTCCTGTTTTCAATTATTTAATTTAAGAAGACTTTGTTAAAGTTTTTTCTTGCTATAGATCATAAAGGTATTTAGCTATTTGAAGATGATTGGAGCTTATGTAATGAAAACAACATATCTCATTAGTTTGCCAAAGTATTAGTAATGCATATTGAGAAATGATTGAGACCTCTGATAAGTTATGAAGAGCTTTTTGTGGGTGTATCCAAATCACACAGTCTAGAATTAGACTGGAAATATTTTTCAGTTTGCAGTAGTCCTGATTTTCTAGAAATGTCTGTTCTTCACGGTTTTCCTACTGACAAGAGAGAATATTCTTTCCACATTCCCCCCCTTGCCTCCCATGCTAAGCAAATTGCAGGACATAAACTACACATGAGGACATGAAGTAATTTATTGTGGTGCAAGCAGGAACATGGAGTGAGCTAGAGACTGTGTTGCTGTTTGGCAAACATGTGGAAAGCCAAGAACTACCTCTGTTACTATATGGCTTGTAGGTTTAGTTTGTAGTGATTAGGATAATCTTAGAGTTGGTGAAGTTTTGGGATTTTTTTGGTGACCTATCTTAACGGCATTAGATGGTGTCTGTCTGAGGTATCTCTAAAGCATATTCATATTACTGGGCAATAATCTGGAATAGGGTACTGAAAAGTTTTGTATCACTCACAGCAAATTCTTCCTTACCGCAATGCTGCCACTATTCGCAGGTGTGGTCAAGCAAGAGACATGAAACTTTACAGCTGGTCCTTTCCCAGCAAATGCTGGAGGTATCTCACTTCATCTTTTGCAAGGAGTGAGAGGGAAAGGATAGGGGAAGGAGGATGGGGTTATAGTGTCATGTATCTATGCCCCCCGAGTACAAAAAGTCAGGGTTTGTGCATGATCTTTCTCTGTTTCTGCGGGACTGTCTTTTTAGTATAAGGCCAAAATTATTATTTTTCTGATAGTTTTGTTCACTCTGAAAGTAAATTGTACTATTATCTGGGTGTCTTGCCATAAAGTTTGAAATATGTTTCACTGACTAAATTGTAGCAAGGGATTCACAGATGCCTTTCCTTCTACATGTTTTTAATGTTATTGGTCTGTGCATATGTCTGGGAAATAGGTTTGAAGCAGAGTTGTTGGAGTAATGGAGATGAAATTTTTTTTAAATAACATCCCAAAAGGTTAATAGCCTATGTCAACTCAGATTTTATTTAACTTAATAACCAGGACTGTAAATCTTAAATAACTCTTCTGCCATTGCAGCTTCAAGCACATTTAATTCCTGGATTAAATCTGAATGCCTTGGGTCTGTTCCCACCTTCTTCTTCAGGAATACCACCTCCCGCAGTGAGTGTTGCCTCTGCTGCTGCTGCTGCCTCATATCCACCATTTGGGGTAAGGGAAGCTCTGATTTTGGATGGTTAGTGGATGGTGATACTAATCTGTAAAATGCTGCTCTTCCAAACTAAGCAGATTGCTGCATCTTTTGCCAAATTACCTGAAAAATCTGGGAAGAGTGTTTTGGTACTGTGTTCTGTTCTAAATGTTGTCTATCTTCCTGCTTGCACACTGAAAAGACTTCATGTGGCTGCAGTTGGGAGCAGGCATTCACTGCTCGTTTAGTGCAGTGCCCAGCGAAACTGGAAAATGGTGTTTCTTAGAAAAGTGTTACATCCTATTTTATAGAGAATTTGAATTATTACAGAATGAAATCTCACATAAAACAGAACTTAAAAATTGATGAAATTTTCAATTAATAATACTTGTTCTGCAAGCTTTTTCCTGTTGATATGGAAGGAAATGGTCTCTTGTCATAAAGTGGGAATCTATATGTAGCTAGTGTTTGAATGTAGCAATTTTATAAATGTACAAGCCCTGTTGAATACAGTACTGCTAAATATATAGGATTTAAATTACATGGATTAATTGTCAGAAAACTGTGATTTACTTGCCACTTTGCTCTCAAGTATGTGAAAAAGTTCAATAGAATCTTACTCAAATTCAGTGCTGATTAGTAATGATAATGAGGTCTTTTACTGTGGAGCAGAAGACAATTTTTTTGTATTAGAAAGCTCCAGAGTCTTTCTGGAACTGAGATTCTTTTCTTGAATAGCAAAGCACGACCTCATTACACAGAGGAGGTGATTTTCATCTCTTCCCTGTTTCTGGTGGTGATGGTTGTTAGCAGCTCAATGGAAGATAAATTTTCAAAGCAACTCTAACAAGTGGATGAGAGAGCTTTACAAACTTTGCTGTGGCTCACTTTATCCCCTTCTTTGCCCTGCAGTGACATCTAGAGAGCTAAGTCTGAGACTATTCATGAATTAAAAAAGTAAAAATGCAGCACATCACACTGAACTTTATCAAATAACTCAGGTTACATTGCACTAAAGGGTAGCTGTTGCCTAAATTGTTTTCCCAGAGGGAGAAGCCAAGAAAAAGTCTCTGCAAGAAACAGGAAAAATTCCACACTCATAGCATTGTTTTTGGGAATGAAAAACTTTGGTATTATGAACTATATTGAGTATAATAGAAAAAAAGTGCTTCAATGAAAAGTGCAATGGAAATATGTTTATACTTAGTTATTTTACTGTTAATAGTAGAACCTCTATTTATGATAAATTCTCTCCCAGTCCTTCTGCACTTCAATTAGATTGGCAGACTAAACTAAACTACAGGTTTCTGCTTCACTGTATTGTATAAAATGCTATTTCTTGTAATGGGTTGCCTCAATTTATTTCTTCTGTTCTTAAGAGAAAGAATGTGGTTTGTTAACAGTATATAACTTTCTGTAGTGGTAATTAAAAGTGTGGCTTTTCCTTTCTTTTTACTCCAGATTTACAAACTACTTTGCTATTCTTGAGATGCATACTGTAAGCCCACAGTTCTGTTCATCACTTGATTTTGTTTTCATTTCTTTCCCACCTTTCCCCCCTGTCGTGGTTCTTTTTGCTTTTGCTTTAAATATGCACCTAAACAACGCTGAATTTGGTGATTACTCTTGTCTGTTCCTCTGTTGCTAGTGCACCTTTACCCCTTCCCTGCCCTGCCCTGGATGCACCTTTTCTGGCCTGCTAAGATCTCTGGCAATTTCCAGGTTTCTGGAAATAGGATAGTGGCAACATCTGGAAAAAGGCATCAAGAAACAAGTGTCATTGTGTAAAACTGTAGAAGCTTTGCAGCTGGAAGGACCACACTGTCTGAACTCTCTTGCTTCTGTTCATGCTAAGTCCTCTGAAAAAGCTTTCATTCCATACAGTCTGGATGTGTGACAAGCTAACATGCAAAAAGGGACAAACTCACAGATTGCGTAGATAAACTCTGACGGCTTTTGTGGAGGTTGGGGGTGGTACCAGTGCAGCCCCTGAACCTGATACAAAGGGCTTCTAGAACAGATTAACAACTTGATCAGCTATGAACCTGAGTAATTGAAACTATCTTACCTTTTTGTACTTACAAATGACCGTATTTGGAAAAGAGAAGGTAGTTCTGTGGGCTTCAGGCAAGTTAGCCCCTCAGATTCCTTGGAGTGCCTGTCCTTCTCTGTGGAGAGAAAACAAGGAAAAGTATGAGTCTATTCTCTTAATAGATGTAGTTGTTCAGAAAACAAGGCTTCCATTTTGAAGAGTTTTAAACCTTGTTTGTGCATGAATTAATTTTCTGTAATTGAGTTTTACTCTTTTTTTTTTCCTCTAGCAGAATAATTTTTCAGACACTGATAAAATAGGTTATTAGGGCATGCAGATGTAGAAAGAGTCTATCTGTATTTTGAAGAAGTGGAAACAATTTGAAAGGCTAAAGGTAAACATGGAGGGACATCTAGGAAAGCACATGAGGGATTCAACTAAAATAAAATCTGTGACCAAAAGAGGCTTCAGGGAAAGAAGGTCTTAGAAACATTAATGAAGAACTCACAAGGAGGATCTATGTCCATTTACCTATGAGCTATGTGCTAACAAGTTCCTTGTTATGGCAAAAGTGTTTGAACAACCCAAGTCCCTTTAGCTTGTTTTGAGTGGATGTCCTTTTATGCTTGGGAGCACTGGTTAGCTGACATTGAGGATATCTGTTTCAGAAAGCTGAAAGTCCTTTCTGAAAACAGTGCTGGCAGCAGGGTATAAGGAAGAGTATCCTGCTGCTGTCTCACTTATTTTCGTGTAGTGCAATTTTTGCTGCTTTGTCAGAGCTGGACATGGGTGGCTCTTCCCTGTCTCCTGTTTGTTTGACTGAGCAAAGGTGTGTTCCTTGGCAATTTCAACTGCACCATCATTGGGGCCTCTTGGCATTCAGATGTCACTGAAGTCTGTTTGTGTGCTTACAAACCATATAGTGAGCCTTGAGACTCCACTGTGATGTGCCTGAAGGTTATGAAGCTTCTGTTGTAATATCTTTGTATGGACCCTTTCTTCACCTTGTGGGAATGGACTCACAAGCGGCTCTTCCTTGGGTCAGAAGAGGTAGGTGGTTGAATTTTGGGCGTTAGCAGCAGAGTGTCCGTATGGAGCTGATCCTTCATATGTACTATTTTCTAGTGGCAAAGTATTGCTATGACCCTCTGCAGGACTTGTTACCAAAGAAGCTGAGGTGTCAGTTATTGAAACTATTGCATTTCTGCTGCTGGTTTTTTATATGGGTGGAAAGATAAAAAACCCTACATAGTAGGCAGATATAGGATTTTGTTCAAGTGCCAGAGCTTAGTGACAGGTCTGAACATCCACAGCTGGAACCAAGTATTCCTAAAACTGAGTATTCAGGAGTTTGGGACTGAGTAGTTGGGTTTAGCTGTATTAACGTGGGTTTAGCTATGCTAATGTGTGTGATGCTTCATCCTATCCCTCTTCATGCAAACCTATAAGGCTTGTTTGACAAGAGCATGAACACTGTTCTCCAGCTGCTTCAGGTACAGTCCAGTGTCACTAACTTGGGAGATGGAGATGTTGTCAAACACTGGTTTGCGTTTAGCTCCTTGGACTGTGTCACATTCAGGAGAATGATGTCCATGTGATTGAGACATCTTATTCCCTAATGTCCATCTCCATGCTGGTTCATACTGGTGTATACACACCAAAGCCTTATCTAATCTCATGAGATGCAGTTTTTGTCTCCCAGAGAATCTGGGTGTTGCTTTACTCTGTCCTGGCAGTAGAGTCCACACAGGAAAGCACAAGTTATCCTGGATACTTTTCTGTTTACAGATACAAACATGCATGTGTGCACATGTCTATTGCATGTTGCTAACATTGTCTGAGCACCACATCTAATACAGGCTACTCATCCATTTTTTTGTATTTTTACCTATTGCTAGCAACAGTTCTTGATATTGCAATTGTTTAATTTATTTGCAGAGTCCAAACTCTGTTTCCCTGTTTAAAGCACTTTTTTTGTGCATCATTTAAAAGGGATGCAGTGGAACTGTATATTGTTTCAGTTTCTGAACTTTTCTCTCTATATTTGCAAAAGTTCAAGTTCTGTATATATTACTCTGGACTCCTAAAAGACAAATCAAAACATTGGGAATCATTGAAATGTTTCAAGGTTTGAGCAAAAAGTAGGATAAATAAACAAATATTAGGAGTTAAAGATTCTTTTTGCCATGAAATGGTCATTATTTTCTTCTTATGATCTTGATTATATGATCAAACTAGTGGTGGTTTTTTGATTGATGTATGCCCTTGTGTGACCATACTAAGGACCAGTAGCTTTTCTGTGCCTATTTGTAGCTGATGTCTTGTCCAGCTGCTTTTGGGCCTGGAGAAACCATCACTTTCTGTTTACCCTTAAATCTTTCTCCTTAGCTCTGCACTTCAATGCTCGTGTGTATTGCAGTTCTGACACAATTGCGAAGAGTTTCATTAGTCTGCCCACTGTCATTCGTAACAAGTGTCATGGCCTGAGCACCTGCACAAAGAATTGGGAAGAGTAGAAGTGACTATGCCCTGTGCTTGTTTTTTTTTTTTTTTTTAGAAGATACGTTGCCACAAAAAATGTTTTAACAAGTATCCCAGCCAAACTGCTTCAGATGTAGTGTTGTACTGCTCAAAGCTGTTTTGATGGAGTTGTTGCTTCTGTCTTCTGAACTGTGGGGAGAATATGCACATACTTGTCTCTCAAGAATAGAAGTTTGTTCTCATGCAACACTGAAGGTTTTAAAGCTCCAAACAAATGAAATCCTTATCTTAAAAGTTCAGCTGTGTACAGTTAAATACACCTGGCCCAACTACTGGGTTTAAGTGAGTTGCACCACCCTTCCTTTTACAACTGGAACTCTTGCCTGTTTAATTTTACATCCAGCTGCATTTCTTTTGTAGTCTTTGGGTCTGAAATTTGGCATTCCAAGGGTATGGGGGAAGACCATATGCAGAGACCTCATCCTGCACTTTAATGTCCTGAAACAG